GTTGAACCACTTATTTATGGAGGTACGCCGTTAATGAGAACGATCGAAGAAGCAAAAAAGTTATTTGCTACGGAAAGATTTAAGGATCACACCAAGTTGATGTTTATCATATCCGATGGACAGCCAGGCGATGGAAGCGATCCTCCGATGAAGGAGCTTGCTCTGTTAGGCGTGAAAACAGTTTGCTGTTACATAACAAACGATGCAATCGCTGATCCAAAACATCTTTACAGTACTCAGTGCGAAACATGGGATGAAGCATCGAAGTTAATGTTCCAAATGAGTTCAACAATCACTACGCAGGTGATCCCTCGCACTATATTTGTCAAGCGTGGTTGGAGTATTGACATCACGAACAACGAAACACGTCTATTCTTTCAAGTGAATCACCCTGATATCATTGAAGAAGTCTGTGAACTTGCCAGGGAAGTAGTGTGTTGCCAAGACGCACTTTCAGATATATTGACAACAGTGTCTCTAGATCTATATATAAATCAAGCAAATCAAGGATTTGTTCCGAAACGACAGGAAGGTGGCACATGTTACGCAAATGCTTCAGCTGCTGTTCTGCATCTTGCGATGCAACGGATCGTTGGAAGAGACGGTGGTTATCCTGACTTCTTTGATCTGCGAAAGAAAATGATAACGAAGTACGGGGAACATGGCGCCAACACACTTAAAGTGCTTCAAGAGATCTGTCCTGAATACCGCCTTCACTGCAAAGAGGTTGACGTTCTGGGAGCAATGAAAGCAATTGCCGCCAAACGACCTGTCTTGGCACGGTTCTGGCTGACTGACCCTGAGTGGGACATGTTTGAAAAATTCTATAAACAGAATCCACAAGGTGTTCTCACGAGTGCTATTCTGGAAATCAAACGAAGGGAACCCTTGCCATGGCCATGGTTGCTATGGGCATGTCCATGGCTATGGCAATGGCTATGGCCAGAAGCAAAACTGATCGGTCATGCTGTGGTGCTTACTAGCTTTAACAGTGAATGTTTAAGGCTGATGAATTCCTGGGGCAGCGATTGGACTGATGGTGGCTTCTTCAAGGTTAGTAATGCAGATGTTCTTGGCTTGGAATCTATGGATGTGTTCTGGACCAAGGACGACTTGAAGCAGTCAGAAATTGTTGCATACGATCGTGAGGGTGCCACAATAGCAAAACAATTGTTTTCAAAGCTGCAAGGACTACAGACAATCCAATATATCTGCCCTTTGTGTTACCAGAGTTCCAAAGTCAGCGATTTCACTGGTCATYATTTGGAAGCTAAGTGTCCAAAATGCAATGAAGCATTCAAGATCAGTGATGTGGGAGATGACTTGGCTTTAAACATGTATTTGTTATCACTGTCAGCTAATGGACAATAAATTTACAGTGATGACATGAGGATTTTCATATGCTGACGCCGTTCCGTGTTCGGTGAGAGTACGGACCATAGAAAAGGGATCTCGATTTGCTATGTATGGTTTTCCTTTTGTAGACTCTACTGCATGGTCTAGCCGTGTTTCGTGGATTATGCAAAGTTTTCCCTAGACTATAAAAGTTATATTTTAAAAGCAAGTACTGAGTTTGGTAGTTTCGTCGTGCAGGAGTATTTACGATGCAAGTGTTTGTTCAGGCCCTAAGGGGTTACAAAAAAAATGATAACGATAATAATAATAATAATAATAATAATAATAAAAATATTGATAATGATGATGATGATGATGGTATGGCCAACAGATATGATGATGATGATCATCATCATGTCTCATGATGATGATGCTGGTGCTGAAGCCTCATGGTGATGATGTATTTGTCAATGATGGTAACGTCAGGTAACGTATTTGAGTGTTTTTGTTGTAACTAGTAATACTAAATACTGGTCATACTGGTCAATAGTTTTTATGTAAACCATGATAATTAAGCCTTAATAGACGTCACACTCATTAGCATATTGGAAGTACAAGCCTTCATAACTTAGAAGTGCATTAGAAGCATGGGACAGCTCTGTGCACTCCCACTGCCTTCTTAGTTTTCCTTCCCTGCCCCTGTCTCTGTCCCTGCCCCCACTCCACACACACCGACACCCGAACCGACACCCAACCTCAACTAGCCATGTGTTAGTTTGTGATAGGGACTGAAAGGTTGCAGTAAGATAATATTTTACCTTGCCTTGTCGTTCTGAAAGCAGGCCATTACCTGGCGTAAAATAAATTCTTCGAGATTCATTGCAGCCAATCCATTTCTTGGATTGGAAGCCAGGCCACCTTGTGCTTTACGCAAAAGTTCAACATCCCATACACAGTCAAAGCTCGGGAGAGACCAACCAAAGTCGACATGGAAAGCTAACGAATGTTTTTTTTTTCTTTAATTTCTTCATCAGCTTTGCAACCTAAAACAAACAATCGAACTAACGAACGGACGGACGGACGAACGAACAAACGAACGAACAAAAGGATCAATTCATGAAGGGGAAAAAAAAAACATACTGCACTTGACTAGACAGCTGGTTTCCGTACAAAGGTAAGTCAGCAAAGAGGCTAAGCCTTAAAGTTTAGAATCAGGCGGTCTTTATTTATTTCGCTATTGTCATTGCTTATCCAAATCATACTCAGCTTGAAAGCTGTCAGACGAAATCCCAGGAAATGATGTAAATAACCTTTTGAAAATCCAATAATGGAAACAATAAGGCAACAACGCAGCGAAAATCTCTATTTATATATATAATATATTTATATTTTTTTTTTTCCCTCTCACTGCAGGGGCTAGTATTTTCTAGATCATAGATTATATAGTTATACTAAGATATCTTGAATAGGGTATGTAATTTCAAGATTTTCTCTATTATGTTTATTTTAGATATCTTAGCAGTACATCCCTTTCACAGCCATTTCAACTACACTGCGCCTTCCAAAGCGCGAAAATTAGTTTCGGCCCAATGCCACTGTCTATACAAATTCTATCACAGGAAATGATGTAAATAGCCTTTTAAAAATCCAAGAAGGGAAACAACAAGGCAACAAGGCGACGAAAATCTCTATTTCCAATATATATTTATCTTACTGCAGGGTCTACTATTTCTAGATTATAGAATATATAATAATACTCAGATATCTTGAATAGGGTATGTAATTCCAAGATTTTCTCTCTTATGTTTATTTTAGATATCTTAGCAGTACATCCCTATCACAACCATTTCAACTACACTGCGCCCTCCCAAGCGTGAAAATTAGTTTTGGCCCCATACCACCGTCTATACAAATTCTACTTCAACCAATTTAAACACGGCAATAAAGTGCTCCATTTAACCAAATTTAATTAAATTTTAGTTTTTACTAGTGATTGGAAATGATTTTTCATTTGGCAATAAGAATCATCCAATCAGAAAAGGGACGGTGCGATCAACTGCTTATAAAACAGGAAAGGTTTTTCTTTATTCAATCGTAAGGGAGAGTGAAGAGAACCGGCCAGGGTTTTATATCTTGCTCAACCGTCTCTAATAAAAATTGCGAAAACGCACCATCTTTATTATGAAGAATGGCCAGCAAATCGCCTTCATCACTTTGCTCTTCTTTGTCCTACTTAACGCTCGTGATGTGAGTCGCCAAAGGTACACATTTATATTGTAGCAATGCTCCTTATTAATTTAAGATTTGTTTTAATATATTTCTTTTAATTTTTTTTTTCAAATGTGAAGAGAAAGACTTGAAAATCATTTTTCTACTGGGAATGGTTCTTTTCCAGACCAGAGAGGAAACGAAGTGTCTTCATCAATTGGGTCCAAAAACCAGTTTGAAAATCTCAATCAGATTCAACCTGCTGAGAGGAAAAACATGTTTTTGAAGACGTTCAATAAAAGAAGCCCGATTGGATGTAATCAAAGTCGCAGTTTTGGCTGAGATGGATACACGTTGTTAAAGAAAAAGTCAAAGAAAGAAAAAAAAAAGAAAGAATCCAATGTATTTGTAACTTTTAATAACCCACAACAATTTAGAGACTATTAATGCTAACTTGAGACTACTCAAATAGATTTGTATGTGCAAAATTAAATTCCATTAAATGAAAAGTTGAGTTAAATATTTCTTGGGGAGGGNGGGGGGGGGGGTAATGATTCTAGGATAAACTAGATACTTTTTGTTCAAAATTTGATTTTTAATATCGAGATTGATTTCAAAAATAATGAATCAACTGATTCATAAAAGAAAACCAAATTGAAAAATGCTTCTTTATTTCAAGCGTAGCAATTTATACACCGAATCGAAATATGGCGACCAATTTGAATAACTAGTGTTCTCCACTGACAAGCGACTGACTAGCCTCGTGATCACGTGCAAACATAAAAGCATTTTCACATGTATGAGAGGCCAGTCAGTCGCTAGTCAGTGTAGAACAATAGTTATTCAAATTGGTCGCCATATTTCGATTCGGTGTATAGCCAAGGCTTAAAAACCTCTGTCTATCGGCGTTAAATAAAAATGCATGACATTTAAGAAAAGCTGTTTTGGCCAAGAAAGAAAACCAGGCAAAATACCCTCGAATAACAGGAGAAAACTAACACTGAAACACATTTCATTAAGATATGATATATGGCGGTCCCAGGTATCCAACCCATGACCAGGCGGTACTTTATTCGTGCGTAGCTCAACCCTCTGTCTTTCCCAAAACAATTTGAATTTCATCCATTAACTTATTCTAGCTTTTCTAGCTTTAGACTTCGGTTCCCAATAATCTTTATTTCAAACTTTTTTATTGTTCAAAGTTTCTTGCAAACCTGCTAAGTACTCCTGTCAACAGGAATGGTTTGTGTTCACACTCCGAGCTTAAAGATTGAATTGTACGGTTACTGTAATGGAATATGGACATTACTGAACTATTTTTTACCTTCAAAACAATGAAAAAATACATCTTCTGAAGCCTTCCTAAGAATTAAAGGCCGTCAAAATAAAGTTTAGTCATTCACTTCATGAAATTTGAGTGTTAATTCTTCGTCTGATGCGTCTTAAGGCCAGTTTTTGGCGTTTGGCGTGAGCTATATTTGTGTGTATGAGAGAGAGGGGAARAAAGGGGAAGAAAGGGGAAGGCAGGCAACAAAACTTGACCACCGCTCGATCTAGCCCATCAGAATTCCAATTAAAGAAAAATCTCACCAAAAAATACCACGGCACGATCGAAGAGATTCTAAGCTATACCTCAGCATAGTTTCACGCTCAAAGACAAATTCCTTCTATCAGAAAAGGCAGGATTTTCTACCTTTTTCGCCACGGTAAAAGGACATAGAGGACTCACTCAAGACGTAAGGAATAGCCCTTATCGTAGATGAGCAAGCCACCCCAAAAAAATAGCGGTATCGTGATGAACGTAGCATCAGAACGAGAGTATCGGGTCGAGCTTCGGATAATTTGCTAAGAAATTTACTACAAATTTTCGAGAGATCACTACATTTTGATGGCTATCTTTGATATACAAAGAATTTTGTGGGCTTTTTAACTGTGGTTAAACACTATATATCTTTTGGATGTACGAACAGAGTTTATAACATAGTCAAGTAAATCCGCGCGATCTGATTGGTTGAAAAACATGAACCATTTGCCCATGGGTTGCACGCTCACTTCAGCTTTTTTTGCTTCGGCGGAAATTTAACAAATTGACATCAGATTTTTATGTGTCTGTCCTCTTATTGACAATAAATTGCGTCATCACATTGTCAAAGTAGTGTGGATACTACTACTTTGGCAATGTGATGGCGAAATTTATCGTCAATAAGAGGACAGACACATACAAATCTGATGTCAATTTGTTTTTTACAATAACAAAATCGTTAAGCAAACGTAAACAATGTTCACAACAATAAATTCCACAAATATACTAGTAGAAACTGTTTATTTTTCAATGATCACAAATCATTGTCGTCAGAAATATTTCTCGCTATCTTATTGGTTGACATAATATAAACAAACAGCCTTATTGGCTAAAAATCGGCAGCTTGTCAAACTTTTCATTATAAAGCCAGTTAACGGCTCGATCGTTAGTGAATTGATGATGAACAGAATGCACAACGGTGCACAACTCAAAAAAAACAAAAAACGATCTTACATGTAAATATAGTTCAAAAGCTACAGTTCTTTTGGATTTGCTGGCGAAATAAATACCTTAACCTGACCTATGTTACATGAATTAAACATGCTGTTTAAAGAAGCATTTGAGGCCACAACAGAAGGAGAGAATTCGCTCAAAGTTGAAGCCAATGGAACCTGCTGTGCTTGTAGCGAAGTTTTGCACGAGGTGGGAGTCTTGCCTTTCTCCAGTGCATGGGAAATGATCTCTGAACAATTCTGAAGCTGTGATGTTGATGGCCGACGGTTGGAGCTTGCTAGACTTTGTTCATTGGCATGCCCAGAAATTCTCATAATATGTCGAGCTGGAACTCCTGCATCTGACAACAGCGTAATGGCGGTCGCTCGTACACAATGGTTTGTGTACATCTTTGAAAGACCAGCCCCCAGGGAAATTTCTTTCATCAACTTTGACAGTCGATTAACACCCAGAGGCTTGTTTTGATACCAAATATCATCGGAGTGCTCAAAGTTGGATCTGGGTTTCTGAAAGAAAGCTTCTTGTAAAGGATTTAGCTTGCTCAGGTAAAGCTCGATGCAGTAAAATGCGTCGCCATCTTCATCTGTACTGTAAAGCCTGGTTTCTCTTTCTGTGCTTATCTTATCGTTAAATCCCCCTTGGTGGTTCTTAGACTGTTCTTCGTGCGACATCTGTATAAATGCTTTCCCGTCACTGTCTCTATCGAATACAAAGCTGTTTCTTCTTAGCAAACGCTGACCTTCACAGCCACGGCGACACCAGTAGATCGTCACGTACAGCCAAACTTTTCTTAAAAGACCATCTGGAGTTTCTGGACTCATGAATGGGCTTGTCTTCAATTTCAGGATGTCTTGAGATTCAATGACAGGCTTGTGTTTAGTGCATTCTTTATTTTCTCTTCGGATAGCTTTAAGCTTGGATTCCAGCATTTTGTTACTCCTTGCGAAGACTGGATTGTTGGTTAACTTAATGCACCTGTTATTGGCGATAAAGTGCCTCTCGATTGAATTCCTGAAGCCAAGAAGTGACGAACGGCTGTATTCTTCTCCAGATTTTGTTCTTGCCTCTGCATAAAAGCGTCTTAGACAGTCATCTAGATCAATGCTTGACATCTCTAGTAGTTTTGTTTCTACTCCTCTTTCCTTGCACCAATCTGGAAATTCGAGGTATGTAATAACATTTTATGGCCAATAATATCATGATAAACAAAGAGAAGTTTATCAAAATATGCTGTAACAAAAGCCATATCTTCAAACATTTTCAGACATCATTTTGTGTTTCGTTTAGTGCCTTTTGAGGTTGACTCTAGCACAATTTCTTGCAACTCTTGGTCATTCAAAGTTGCAAAACGACTTGTCATTTCGGCACTTTGTTGTTGCTCAGTTTCTACTTTTTCAAGACACAAAGCAAGCTCCATATCAGATGTTTCATCAAAATCGAAATAGTCAGTATTTGCATCGATGTTAGAAGCATTTAGTGTGTTAAAAAAGTTGAAATTGAAATTTGGCTCGTCCATTTTTCACTTTTCTAGTTCAGCCTTTTCAAGGAGCTTGAGTGTACGCGTCATTTTTTTTTATCTGTCTGTCCTCTTATTGATGATAAAAATTAGCCAATCAGCGCGCGAGAAATTTGTAAGTTATTGTAAAATAACCTTTTGTATTTTTTTTGCTGACAATTGATCTAGAAAAGATATATAACTGAAAATGATTGAAAAAACTATCGAAAATACTCATCAATCTCCGACATTTAGTATAGAGTTGTCATTTGATCAGCCTAGTACAAAACGTCAAGATTTGCATCAATTTCAAACAGTGAGCTGGACAAGATTGTGTCAGAGCGTCACTCCAAAAAGACAAAGCAAACAACAAATTGGTCGGTGTCTACATTCAAAGGGTTTTGATTAATGATGCAATGATTAAACAAATACAAAAATATTGTTATCGTGTATTTATTCAACAAAAGTATTTCCAAAGTAATCAACTATAAATATTACGCTCACCATCTTCTTCGCAGCTTCACAACTGCAGTGAAGTCCTTTCTGAAGCTCTACATGGGAGTGAAAGTCGACAAAGCATACTACCCAGAGAAAATTAATCCAATTTTTGAAAGCCGAAATTCTCGCAACATGGAACTTCTATTTTTGATTCTGAAAACAAAATAATTTAAGGTCACTTCCACTTTTTCTAGAACTTAAAAGGTCAAGGCAARTAACAAAGCCGTTAAAATGTTCAGGAGTTTAATTTCCTAAAATATACGTTCAGTTACGCTGTCTGCCAAAGTCCAAAGATATACGTTTCATAATAACTAGACACATATTTTTAATGGCAGTCTATAGCGGTATTGTATTTCGTATAGATTTATTAAATTTTTTAAGATAAAATTCAGCGATAAAACTTTACTAAAAAACATAATATTACACGACGTTTCGACGTTAAC